ATATATTTCTCCAATATAATAAAAGGCTAATATGCAAATCGACTGGACGACAGAACGACCGGTCGCTATGACAAGCACTGACCACTAGGGGGCAGATGCTCAACTCAGGAGCTGCCCCCTGGTGGTCAGTGTGCTCCCATAGTGGGAGCCCTGCTCAGACAGAAGCCAGGCTCACGGCTGGCGAGCACAGCGGTGGTGAAGGGAGCCTCTCCTGCCTCTGTGGCAGTGCTAAGGATGTCCGACTGCAGGGAGTGGGCCTAAGCCGTCAGCAGTCGGACATCCCCCGAGGGCTCCCGGACTGCGAGAAGGCGCAGGCCAGGCTGAGGGATCCCCCCGAGTGCATGAATTTCATGCACTGGGCCTCTAATATATATATGGCATGATTTCAAATTACTGATATGTCCTTAAAGTCTAAAACTTTCTACATTTGTATTTGTAGTTGCAATTTGTTCCTCCCTTAAAGATTATGTTTATTGATTTTTTTTAAAAAGACATGGATGAATTTTTTTAAATATATATTTTTATTGATTTCAGAGAGGAAAGGAGAGGGAGAGAGAGATAGAAACATCAGTAATGAGAGAGAATCATTGATCGGCTGCCTCCTGCACGTACCCCACTGGGGATTGAGCCTGCAACCCAGGCATGTGCCCTTGACTGGAATTGAACCTGACCCTTCAGTCTGCAGGCCGACGCTCTATCCACTGAGCCAAACCAGCTAGGGGTATTTTTTTCTTTGCATTTATACAACTTATCTGAAAAATAAAAATAAAATTTTGGAGTGCTTCTGGGCAATTGAAGGCCTTTAGTATAATAACTTTTGAAAAACCCTGAATCTAATTTTTGAACTAGTGTTGGTGGTCAGATACAAATTTCTTTAAGCTCTGTCAGTGTGTTAACCACCACTCATTCTCAATGAACTGCAAGAATTTGAAAGATTAACGTGTCACACATGTTTTATGATAATATTTAACTGAATTGTTAGCAATGTCTCTGGAATTATAGGTGTTTAGGTTTCCTTAAGGAGAATGTTACTTCATCTAAGTTACTAATCTCTTAAGAGTACATAGACCTCTTTGAATTTTCCTACTGAGTGAGTTTTCCAGTAATGACTGAAAGTTGTTATTTAGTGAGAAACATTGTATGGACCTTATGTGTAACTTTCCTGCCATATTTTTATTGAATAGCCTTTGGGTCCTTTGAGTGCATCAAGCATGATTCTTCTCTGAGAAAAGTTGTATAATACATGAAAGATAACTGGAATTAACCTAATATTATTAAATCAAAATGAGCCTTTTTGAAAAAGAATTATTGGTGTTTGATTCCAAACATAATTGACAATATTCTTGTTGATTCAGGAATGTACAGAGGCCAGCTGTATCTGCAGTCATCTGTCAGAATTTCAGAAAAGTTTCCTACAAATCCCAAGGCCTTGGAATCTGTTAATAATAAAAATGAAATTATTCCTTTGCCAACAATCAAATGGAAACCCTTAATACGTAAGTGAATTGTAAACTTTTTAAAAGTTTATTAACGTGTTCACAGGGCTGATCATGATGTCTTTGCCCTAGTTTTGACTGTCACAGAGATGACAACATTATATTCTCTGATAAACTAGAAAGATATTTCAGATGTTAATGCATTTTTTAAATCCTCACCTGAGCACATGTTTACAGAGAGGAAGGGGGTGGTGGGAGAGGGAAACATTGATCAGTTGCCTTCCTTATGCACCCCAACTGGGGATCAAACCTGAAACCCAGGTATGTACCCTGACCAGGAATCGAATTGGCAACCTTTCATTGTACAGTATGACACTCAACCAACTGAGCCACTCCGGCTGGGCAGATGTTAATTATTTTTTTATTTTATTTTATTATTTTTTCATGTATATTTTTATTGATTTCCGAGAGGTAGAGAGAGAGAAACATCAGTGATAAGAGAGAATTATTGATAAGCTGCCTCCTACACCCCCCTATTGGGGATTGAGCCTGCAACCTGGCATGTGCCCTGATGGGAATTGAACTGTGATCTCCTGGTTCATAGGTCAATGCTCAACCACTGAGCCATGCTGGCTGGGCAATGAATTTTAATTAGCATTTAGAACAGGATTTCATTGAAACAGCAGTTCCTTCGCTAGAACACAATGTTAATAAAATATTTCTCTGTACAATTTAGAAAAACTTTTAACCATTCACCAACCATGCCTGTGTGTCAGCTCTTAACCTACCTATATCAAGAATATTTATGAGAAAATTATCTGGTCATATCATATTTTTTGAAACATTTAATGAATTAAAATCAAATACTAGGCTACCTACTTCTTCAGTTATCTTTTTGTCCCTTATGTATATTTTTTATCACATGCTTTTAATTACTTGTTTATAAGATTCGTCTTCTCTACAAGACTGCTTTTTAAGGGAAAGAACCTTGAGCCATTTGTTTGACTTCCATGTTTGAATTAAACTGTGGTTAAATCGCTGTTTTTTTAATGAATGAGGTACATGCATTTTCATGAAACTCATAGCGGTTAAGCTTTTACATTTTCTTTTAGATTCTCCTTCGAGAACTCCTATCTTGGTAGGGTCTGATGAATTTGACAAATGTCTTAGTAATGATAAGTTTTCTCATGAAGAGTACAGTAATGGCGCACTTTCAATCTTGCAGTATCCATATGGTAAGTGTGATTACGCTTGGATTGAAAATGCTGTTTTGTTTCTAATTTATTTTATGTATTAATTTGAAATTAATTAATAGAATTCAAATGAAAGATAGTCATTTGAGGGGTAGAAAATAAAATACCGTGAAAGGCAATATTGTGAATGTTGGCCAAGGTGCAAACTCCAAAGTCAGTTGCCAGGGTTCCAATTAGTTTTGCCACATACTGAGATGGGCACCTAACTTTACTGTCTTGGTTCCTTCACCTGTAAAACAAGGATGGCGACCCTCGTGTCTGTTTCTTGGGGTGTTGTGAGAGCTAAGTGAGATAATGCACATACAGTGTTAACACCGTACCTGGCAAATAAGTATTCAGTAAGCATTAGTTCTTCTTACTAGTTATTATTCAATTATCAGCCTGTATAATGTAGTCAATATAAAATCAGTCAGTATAATGAAGAAAACAGGTGTTTGCATAGAGCTATGTGAAAATGCTGTAAAATGAAGTTTTAATTTTGTTTGCAGACCAAATTATTGCAAAAGTCAAGAATAGGTGAACCTTGGCATGAAATACATTCCTATGTATTTAAAATTAGGATATATTTATATACGAAAGTCTTTTGAACAGTTAGATATAAAAAAGTCCTCAATCTGCATTAGACAAAACATAGATTCCTCATCAGTAACCTTAGATGCTAGGACTGGGAAATGATTGTAGAACTTAAATTGATAAAAACAAAACAAAACAGAGGGCTCTGAACTAGAAGCAGTACCCTTTATCTGATTTGATCAAAATTCCGGGTTAGAGAAAACTGTGTAATCTGCCCACAAAATTCAGTATTGGAGACAAACTCAGCGTGGAATGAACCAAGGAGTATAATAGAGATGTTTTCCTTCCAGCCTGTGAGGAATGATTCATGGTAAAATCTGGCATTTGATTGACACTCAATGAAAGTAAAGTTTAAAATCCTTCAAGGAAGTTGAGTACTGTCTAATTATTTTCTTGCATTTAAAGGATTTAATTATTAATGAGGTAATCAGTGGGATGCCCCTTACATTTTTTCTAGTTTTATTACTCAGTATAAAGAAAATTTATAATGCTTATGGAATAAAGGAAAATATATTTGCATAATAAAAAAGAAAAAATCAGATAAATGAGGCTATCAAATGTGTTAAAGAAGAAATGAGGCTTTTACAAAAGGAATTAATGTTATAAGTCATAGGAAAATTGATAATTTTTAGTAAATAAAGATGAATCTACTTTGGTTTATCTTTTTAAAAATTAAAACAACCTTTTAATGTTTGTTTTTGCAGATAATGGTTATTATCTACCATACTACCAGAGGGACAGGAGCAGACGGAGCATAGGGAGCACCCAGATCACAGTCCGAGTTCTGAAGAGCCCAGACTACAGCAAGAATGTCCGCAGAAAGGACCCTGTTCTCCTCCTACACTGGTGGAAAGAAATAGCCGGGACTATTCTGTTCTGTATCATAGCAACAACTTTTATTGTGCGCAGACTTTTCCATCCTCATCCTCACAGAGTAAGACATATTTTAGAATCTAATTTATTTCAGCGTTGGGAGTTTCAAAACCTAAATGTGTGTATTTGGGGGGTACATTTACTTAAGTTTTACTATAAAGTCATTGTTTCCCACATGCTGTTTCCACTTCCTTATCTTTCGTTTACTCCTCAACCATTGCAGTCTGGCTCCCATCCGTTTCATTTCCCTTCCATTTCACAAGGTAGATGTGGTATTTTGTGTTCTTATAATGCTTTTCTTTTTCTCAATATTATTTATTTATTTTTCAATGTTATTTTATAGCTTAAGGTAATTAGCTAACTTTAATTCAGATTTGTACTAATAGTGATGTCTCCCCTCCCCCCACCTTATCAGCAAAGGAAGGAATCTGAAACTCAGTGTCAAACTGAAACTAAATATGATTCTGTAAGTGGAGAAGCTAATGACAGCTGGAATGACATAAAAAATTCTGGATATATATCACGGTAAGAGTCTTGTCATAAAATATGTATGTATGCTGTAGCTTCTGGTGGCGACTATTTGGATCTAAGAAATGACCTACAAAGTAAGATCTTGTTTAACTATTTTTTTAATGTGTGAATAGGTAAATAAAATGTAGACTTAACCCTCAAGTCACTTAAACTTATTCAAATGAGCATCGACCTATGAACCAGGAGGTCACGGTTCAATTCCGGTTGGGGCATATGCCAATAGGGGGCATGCAGGAGACAGCTGATCAATGATTCTGTCTCATCATTGATGTTTCTATCTCTCTCCCCTTCTCCCTTCCTCTCAAATAATAAAAATATATATTTAAAAACAAAGTGGTATGTACCCTAAAATGGATAGAAATAGAGTGTTACAGAAGTTTAACTGCTAGTTTTTTAAAAAAATATTTTATTGATTTCAGAGAGGAGGGGAGAGGGAGTGAGAGATAGAAACATCAATGATGAGAGAGAATCATTGATCAGCTGCCTCCTGCAGACCCCACACTGGGGATCGAGCCCGCAACCCAGGCACGTGTCCTGACAGGGAATCGAACCATGACCTCCTGGTTCATAGGTCGATGCTCAACCACTGACCACGCTAGCTGGCCTTAACTGCTAGCTTCTTAAAGTAAAATTTTACTAAGTGACTCACGAATGGTAAGGGTTTTAAGACCCTTTGCTAATGAAGATGCTGTCTAATGTGTCAGTGGCCCAGCAGTTCCAGCAGGCAGTGAGAGAAGGTGTGGAGAGCGAGGGATCCAACAACTCCTGATGGGTAATCTGCTATGGCGCCATTCATTGTTTATTCAGCATTTACTTTGAGCACTGTACAGGGCAGTATTTCCAGGCTTTGAGAGAAATAGAAAGATTGAGCCTATCCTGGAGAAACTTAAAAATCTATGGGGGAGATAATACTGGGTAAAAAAAAAAACATATGAGAAAAAGTCATGAGTTAAGTACTATCTATGGTTGTGATGATTAAATAGGGCATAATAAATGAGGCCACGTTTAAAATATATATATACTAGAGGCCCAGTGCACAAAAATTTGTGCACTCGGCGGGGGAAGGGGGGTTCCCCAGCCCGGCCTGTGCCCTCTCGCAGTCTGGGACCCCTCGGAGATAACGATCTGCTGGCTTAGGCCTGCTCCCGGTGGCAGAGGGCACGCCCAATCCCTAGGTGCAGCCCCTGGTCAGGCTCAGAGCAGGGCCGATTGGGGAGGTGGGGCGCCGCCCCCTGTCATGCACTGAGCACGGCGGATCGGGGGGTTGCGATGCCACCCTCAGTCACGCTCAGGGTAGGGCCGATTGAGGGGTTGGGGCACCGCCCCCTGTCACACTCAAGGCAGGGTCGATGGGGAGGTTGTGGCGCCACCCCCTGTCACGCACAGAGCAGGGCCGATCAGGGGGTTGGGGCGCTGCCCCCTGTCACTCACAGAGCAGGGCCCATCAGGGGGTTGGGGCGCTGCCCCCTGTCACTCACAGAGCAGGGCCCATCAGGGGGGTTGGGGCTCCGTACCCTGTCACAGAGCAGGGTCAATCAGGGGTTTGGGGAGCTCCCCCCTGTCATGCACAGAGCAGGGCCCATCAGGGGGTTGGGGAGCTCCCCCCTGTCATGCACAGAGCAGGGCCGATCAGGGGATTGAGTAGCTCCCCCCTGTCACTCACAGAGTAGGGCCGATAGGGGAGTTTGGGCACCGCCCCCTGTCACACAGAGCAGGGCGGATCAGGGGGTTGGGCGCTGCACCCTGTCACACTCAGGGCAGGGCCAATGGGGAGGTTATGACTCTACCCCATCACACACACAGCAGGCCGTGGGGGGGGG